TCGTGTCTTTGCTCCTAGAGATAAGTACAGCATTGGTAAGAAATTTGGGGAAGGCTTTCCCATGTTGATTAGTTTCTGAGGTCATTTTTTTTAAAAAGTATAAGTTATTTGCTCATTATTCTGCATTTCCTATTACTAAAAGATTATTTCTTATTTTATGATCTTATAATTCAAGCTATCATCTTAGTCCTTAATTAAAAAGGAGTTAGGAAATATACAGATATTCATTATAGAAAAAAGGCTTTAATTCTATTTACATGAAATTGTTTTCTATAAATGTGAACAGAATTTAGATGAAGGCAGAGAGCTGGGAACTACTTGAAAACATCCCCAGAGCAGCAGAGACATGCGAAGACAGAATCTCTAAGGCCCTGGTCTGGGCCCCATGTTTTACGACTACCAAAGTTAGCCTGGAGTGCTGGATGTTTGGTTTCTCTTTGTCATCCATGAAGTTTACAACTTGGTATTAGTGTCTGATGAATAACATAAGAAACTGGGGTTTCCTAGGTACCTTGGTTGGAGTGAAGATGATTTAACGAATATAATTGTACTCAAATAGCTCCGCATGAGCAATTATCTCTAATTACTGGGAGAGCCTCACTCTCCTTTCTAATGAAGACTACCAAGGGAGGGGAGCTTATCTCCAGGCACCAATTTCATTTCAGAGTTAATGGGAAGAGTTGGTTCTGCCTGGAAGATTTTGATGAATTTTTATTCCTTCCAACCCCATTCTAGCGAGGAATTGCTGATGTCTTTAGGCCCCCGCTTCCCCGAGGCCTTCCTCTGGGGCGTGTTCTAGTCCCTGCTACTATCTGCAAAGCTAAGTAGCTCAGAAAACTCCTGTAATCAGTGACAAGCACCATGCAGCATGTCCTGGAAGACAGCAAGATTTAGCTTCTCAAGACTTCAATCAAGAATTCAGCGCATCACTAATCGGAGGCTTTGCTGTGTGCGTGTGTTTCTCCCAGTGCTCAAAATAAAGGTCCATTAATGTTTAATGAGTTTCCTGAAAGAAGGGTCAATGGATTTTTGTTTTTCGAGACAGGGTTTCTCTGTGTCCTGGAACTAGCTCTTATAAACCAGGCTGGCCTCAAATTTACAGAGATCCGCCTGCCTCTGCCTCCCAAAAGCTGGGATTAAAGGTGTGAGCCACCACCGACTGACTAGTCAAGGCAATTTTTAACATGTGCTGGGATTTGGGATTTTGGGTCATTGTTTTCTTTCTGCTCCTCCTGTTTACAGGAAGAAGGGGATGTGTTTTGTGACTAGAATAATTTGACACACCAAAACTGGTTGAAAACGATGGCGTATAAAACTGTCTATTGTACCAGCTACCGCCACCAAAGCCACCTCTGGCCACTGTGAAGGAGTGTTGCAAGTTTTTGACGCACATCCTGCTCTGCCCAAGAACCCAAAGGGATTTGTGGTTAGATTCTTTATCTATGTAATTTTCATCTTCTCTGACCGCCTGCCTGAGGCACAAGAAAAGACACCTAACAGTTTACTCCCAAACCAAGATATAAACCTTCTAAGTTCTAACAACCTCCTTAGTGGACCGTGTGTGTGTGTGTGTGTGTGTGTGTGTGTGTGTGTGTGTGTGTGTGTGTGCATGCTCTCACAAAGTTGAAGAAAAACACACATACAGAGCAGGAGGGTCAGGACAGCAAAGCCAAGGGGCTGGAGTGGTAAAGAAAACTTTGTTTGGTTTCTACCACTGACATGGCAGCTCACACCATCTGTAACTCTAGTTCCCGGGGATCCAGTGCCATTTTCTGGCTTCCTCTACACTGTGGACACATGGCGCACTGTGGACACATGCAAGCAACACTCATACATGCAAAATAAAAGTAAATCAATCTTAAAAATAAAGCAAAACAAAGTAAAGAAGAAAAGAAAAAATACAGCGGAAAACTTGGAAACACAGATAATCTCTGGGACACACGTGAGTTAACTGAGTTCTCTGAGTGCCTCCTTTGACCATGCAGGTGTCACAGAGCGGGGTGGGTCCTGGATGCACTGTGTGTAAGTATCAGGCAGTGGGTGTCAGAGCAGGAGCAGATGCTAAGAGAGGAATTTCCGTAGAAGAGCTGTAGAATCCCAATGGATGTGTGCCTATTGTTCTGGAAAATCATGCAGGAGAGTTACATCTGATAACATATGTGGGGAAAATGAAAAGAAAAAGAAAAAGACCTAAGAAATCTATGGCTCCTGAATTTTAGTCTTCCCACATGAGAGAGAATGAAGGCGTGTTGAATTGAAGAAAAAATTCAGGGAGAGTTAAAAAAAAAATACCAGGATTTAGGATGCTGCTCTTCAGTCTCGGTTCATGAGAGAATTTGGGGCAATGGTCCCAGCATTCTAGGTTTCTGAGAAATTTTCAAGTGAATCATCACAGAATGGGAAAATGCAGGTTCTGTTTGTGCACTGAGGTCCCAGTATTCTAGGTTTCTAAGAAATTATCAAGTGAATCACCACAGAATGGGAAAATGCAGGTTCTGGGGTCTCTGGTGGGAACTGTGGGCAGCACCATGGGAAATTTCACCAGGTGTTACTGAGCCACACTGAAATGAGTCACACAGTGAGATAGCCTGTCAGCTCCTTGGTGAGGGTCTCCTCTGGGTTCGCCTTTCTCAGGGAAAAAGAAGGCATTTGCTTCCATCCTGTGGTAGTCGTCTGACCTGAGGCATGATGGGAATAACTGGACTCCATAAAGGAAGGGAAAGCCCCTGCCAGCAATTTCCTCTTCACTCTCAAGTTGAGACTGTTAATACACATCTCCCTTACTGTTTGTTTTCTCTTCTCTTACTTTTCCTTCACTTTTTTGTTTGATTTTTTTAATTTGTTTTGAGACAGGATCTCATTATGTAGGCCAAGCTGGCTGGGAAGGCGTGATCCTTCTGCTTCAGACCTTCCGATGCTAGACCTGCACGTGTGTCCCCACAGCCAGCTCATTGCATCATGTTCTTATGGTCACTCTTTATCTATCTATCTGTCTGTCTGTCTGTCCATCCATCCATCTATCATCTATCTCTCTATCCATCCATCTATACATCATCTATCTATCCATCCATCCATCCATCCATCCATTATCTATCTATCTATCCATCAATCCATCCATCCACCATCTGTCTATCCATTCATCAGTCCATCCATCCATCATCTAAACTACCTAGCAATCATCTCTTCATTCTGAGTCTTTGGCAGTGGATTTTTGAGGCTATTTAAGGAAAAAACAAACCTAAGAAGACTGACAATAATTTTGTCAAGGCGTCACCTTTGCAGATTGTTAAAGTCCTTCGATAGCATAAAGTAGGGATGGACAAAGGAAAATCTACTCTACTTGGCAGGAGAGTAAAAAATTCAATGGATGTCTGCATGTTGGGAGGTTGGCCTAGCTGTCCAAATCCTTTTAAGTGAAGTTGACAAGGTGAAAATAAATTCTCTCGTTTCCTGGAATCAGGCCCCATACAAGAAGAAATTGCTGTTTCCTCAGAACCTGATTAAAATCAAAATTACTTTTAAAATTAAAATTACTTTGTATAGAAAAACTTGGGAAATTATGGAAGGAATTTGACATGGGGCTTACTCACTTTGTGAATTTCTGAGAGAATGAGGGAGAGGGTGGGAAGAGCTGGGAGTGGAGGACCCTGGATCCTTTGGACTTTACTGCAGTTGAACATTTTCCAGGACATGGATGCTCCCCTGGACCCTTCTAGGTCCTCAGAGCTCCCTGTCAAACCCCTGGATCATCCATTCATCTAACCAAAGACTCCACAACACACCTTTTACTAGCTTCTGTTTCCTCCCCAAGTCTCTCATGTTTGTGATTCATGTTTATATACAAACCATCTGTGCAGATCTGTGTAGTTTCTCGGAACTCATTTTACAGCTAGGCTATCCCAGGGCTGTGTAATTTGTGGTACCGACTAATTCTTTCTCGTCCCATCCAGTTTGGAAATTGTATTTCTAAAGCACCTGGCAAGGCAGCATCCCTGGTTCCCTCTTTTAAAAACTGCTCAGTCATGCCGCATCCTCACAAACCCACCGTTTCTTTATAAAGTCACATTGAAACAGTTTCCTGCATCCCAGGTTGGCCTGGAACTCACAACCCTCATACCGCAGCCTCCCGAGTGTTGGAAACAGGGCTCCATTCTAACGCCTGGCTGTTTATCGCTTGTTTTATTGTTAATTGTGAGCCTTGCCTTTAACAGCTGAGCCATATCTCCAGCCCTATCACTTATTTTAAAAATGTTGCTGTTGCCCGGTGAACACACAAAAGTTCGACACTGTTTCATGTGCAATCAGGTTTTCATACTCACAGTCAAAGAGCACACACACCAACCAGCTTCTCTGACCTCTTCCTCAGCCAAACCAGAAACCCTATTTTTTTATTCTTTAGTGGTTACTCAGTGAGTTTTAGGGGTATAGCTAGTGCCATTTTCAGCCACAGCCGACGTAAGAGAGCACGTCACCTAACGTGCAACCATGTGGTTTGGAGATAGCAGTTGAAAGGGTTTTTTTTTCTATTTGTCTATTTACTTCTGAGTCCAGTTTCCTGTCGGGCATTAGCTGACTGTTGTAGAGCATGCCAAATGATAAGACTGCAGCAGTTACTTTGACTTTGCCCTTTTTTGGGGGGCGGGGTGGCTCCTGGTATTACCATTTTAATCATGGTGCTATCTCCTGCTTGTTTTTTTTCCAAGTGAGAAAGTGCCCGAGACAGGCAGCCCTTGAGATGCCTCCCATGACTCCTGCCCTTTGGTAGCCATGCCTGTGTGCAGCGTCCATTCTTATTGGACTGCGCAGATATATAACCAGCAAGATACAACAGACACGATATATTAGTCTAGCTCGCACCTGCCGTAGTAGTTTCTGTTGGTAATTCTCCCAAGGGTTCATTCCAGATGAAGGGAGGGAACTGTTGTAAGAACACTCAACAGTCCCCGCCTACTTAGAAACCGAAGTTTCCTGCCGATAGTTGGCTCTTACTGGATGGGGATGTGAGTGACTCTCCTGGGAAGCCAACTGCTCTGGCCCCTGTCTACTCTCCAGGGGACGGAGTCCTAGGACAATGAATCTCCTGCCCCCTCTGAACCATCCCTGAGCAAGAACAGCCTGTAAGTCACCCCTGGTTCCTTGGCCCAACTCCGTAAATTAGTAATGCCTATTGTTTCAAACTGCTGATTTGGGGTAGGCTAATTTTTGCTATACAGCAGTAGATAAAGATCACACTCTAAAAGTTAAGTTCAAAGAACCCATTGCCATTGTGGGGTTGAAAGTGTAATTACTCAGTGCACAGGGTCCTGTGCTCAGTCCCCAGCAACACTAGATGAACAGGTAAATCACCTTGTTTGACCCTCAAGGCAACTTTGGCATTGAATGTCACACTTGAGAGAGGACTTGTTCTCCGTTCATCCTCATCCGGATCACATGCTACCCACCCCACATGCTGGTCTTGACTTAGCGACTCAAACTCCCATCCTCTCCCCTCGGCATCCTGAGCAGTTGGGATCGTAGCTATTCATCACTGTTCAAATCCGGTTAGACTGTAATTTTAATAAACTCTGTGAATTTTGCCAGGCATGGTGGCACACTCCTTTAATCCCAACACTCAGGAGGCAGAGATAGAGTGGTCTCTCTGAGTTTAAGACCAGCCAGAGCTACATAATGAGAACTTGTATCAAGAGAAATAAATCAAAATTTTTTGGTCTAGGCCTTTTTTTTTTTTTTGAATTTTGCATGTGAAAATCACCAAGATTGGCTTGTGCCATTTGGCTTTACTAAAATAAGACTATAGATAGTACTTTCACAAAATATGTGGTTTCCCCCTACACTTAGAATTCAAAAAAAAAATCATCTCTCTCTTAGAAGCTAAAGGAAGTTTTATCTTGAAACTCTCTTAGCTAGGACCTTTGGGTTGAGCTTTTGTTGATAATTTTCTTCAATTCCTTCACAGTTATTGGTCTATCCAGACTTTCTGCTTGAATCAACTTCTCAGGTCTGCTAAATCTTAAAGTCAATTAGGAAGTGTTTATGAAATCATCTTTCACGTTATTGGCCTATAGTTTTCCTTTTGTTGTGAATTTTATAGTTTTCACAAGTCTGGTGGAAATACAATGAATTAGCGGAATTAGGCATGGGGAGAAATGGCTAATTCTGCTAATGTGTGTGTGTGTATGTTCCACATGAGTGCAGTTCCCAAGTTGACCAGAAGATGATGACAGATCCCCTGGGGTTGGAGTTACAGTTGTTTGTGAGCCACCGATGTGGGTGCTGGGAAATTAACACCATTCCTCTGGGAAAGCAGCAACCACCCCTAAGCACTGAGCCAGCTCTCCAGCCCCCCAGAGGTGGCAATTGCCTGATACATACTGGGCCAGGGGAGTGACTTATCTACTTTCCTAAATGATGATATATTCAACATTCAGCAGAAAGACTCTAAGAAACTGATCGGTAGAATGCTGGGACAACCTTGAAGCTAAGTTATTAAAGAAACATGCTCACACATTTTGCTTGTCATTCCCCAAATAAATAATGCTTTGTTACTAATGGTTAAAGAAAATTCTATGGAAACGTGGAGGCCCTGACAAAGGGATTGTATGTATGATTGTTGTCATCCTCACAAGCATGAGATCACAAATTAAAAGGAAAACTGAATGCATTAACAGGGATTTAGCAAGTGTTTGCATTGTGCAGAGTTTCTCCTTATTGCTTATCCATGGAGAATGCTAAGAATTGTTTGAATGCCAGAAACCACAGAGGTACCAAATTCTAAAGTTATATATTCCTTATATGCACATGCTATGATAAAATCTAATTTATGTTAAGCCCAGTGAGAGATGAATGAAGCCCAATAATAGCATATGCACGGCAATGAACTATAACAGGAGTTATGTGGAGGTGATCTATGTATGTATACATGCATGTATATATATATATATATATTTATATATAATATTTCAATGTCTTCTCTGGTTTCTACTCAGCCTTTCTGTGATGACACACATACATTGATACAATGTCTGTGTGATAAGATGAAGTAATGTGAGAAGCACACACATTGTGATGTTCAGGTTACTCAATAAGGGTCACAGGGTCACAAGTACCATGAAACAGCAGCAGTCTCAGAGCAGAGATGACGTCATAGTGATTAGCAAGAGGGTAGCATATACAGTGCGGATAGGCTGGGAAGAGGGACCATTCATGCTTGGAGGAGATAAGGCAGGATTGTGCATGATTTCATAGACCGCTCAGAATAGCAGGCAATTTAAAACTTATGGACTGTTTAGCTCTGGAACTGTCCATTTAATAGTAGGATCATTGGACCACAGGTCACTGAAACCGAGGAAAACAAAGGCACGGATAAAAGGTCACTACTGTGTTCCTTCATTGGAATAGAGGCGCTTGCCCTCTCTCCCACCCTTTCGGAATTCTACCCACAGCTCCATGCTGGCCACGGTTTCTATCCCCACTCATGATTCTCTCTGACATCTCAGCTGAAAGGAGATAAGGGCTTCCCTTGGCTTACAACGTTTAGAGCTCTTCTTTATGGGATGGCTTGAACCAACTGAACCCTGCTGCTTGCTCAGCACTTGCAGCTACATCCAGAGAGGGCTTTGACAGTCGGTCCAAGTCTTCCCTCTCCTAAGACAGCTCTTAAAATTCCCATCTACAGAGAGGTTCAGTTCAGGCAGATGTTTTGACCCCACACTCTCACAAGTAAATCAACACTCGAGAGGCCTTTGCTTAGTTAGCTGCTAGGCTTCATCCCGACATGTGAAATTCGACATGAACTTCCTGGCGCACCATACACTGCAGGAACCCTTTAACCCTGCACGGTCTTCTCAACCATGTCCTGTGTCAACTCCTTCCCCTACCAAAATAAGAAAGTTAAGAGAGACTGTCACCTTCTCAGTGACTGGGGACACTGATGATACACCACTGTTTCCCAGAGAGGTCAGAGCTCCAGAGCCTGGCATTTCTGGGGGAATGTGTTTTAGAAGGCTCTCCCCGCTCCGTCCAGATTCTGTTTTCTGCTCACAGCTGACGAGGAAACCCAGCACCCGCTCCTTTGCTGAGTGTTCCCCTAAGGCCATGAGTCACTGCAGTCTCTGCTCATGACGCCTGGGACCGTCTAACAGTTGCTACCTCTTACCATCTACATCAGAGGGTGGTTTAAAAAGAATATCAGCGATGCAGGGTCCTCGCCATGACCATATTAAACCACAACTAAAACTGTAGCCTCTTCCATCTTGCAAGAACTGCAATGCCGACACTCAGCGCCAGCCACAAGGCAGGGCACAGGGCCTCTGCTTCCTTCACTGCCCTGGAACCATCAGCTTGGCTGACATGGTTTTTGAGGAGCTGTCCTTTTTAAAGAGGCTGCCCCTGCAAAGTGTCTCTGTGCAATTAAGTACTTCCTTGTTCAGGTTCAAATCACCTACCTCATTATGGGCTATTAACATACTTTACCTGTTAATGAAGATGTCCTTAGAAATGACCCTGTGAAGGGCTCTCCAAGTCCCAGGGAAACTAATGAGGAAGGATGTCACCAAAGCAGAGGTCAGGACTTTGACTCCGTTCCAGCCTTTTCACTGTTGGACAAGTGTCCTTGGGCTTGTGGGGGTGGAGGCATTGACCGACTCCTGTCTTCCATTATGGTAAAATGGAACGGTAATTACAATACCCACTTATCTTCCAGGCTTGCTTTTTAAAATATCAAAAGGCATAAGACACTCAAATGTGCTTTGATGAAGTAAAAATATCAGAGGGTATTAGTCAGTCTTGCACCCTCTGCCCTTGAAGCAGCGGCGCGTGGCAACACACCCCTTTGTTTTCTGTATTCCTGCTTTCTGAGATCCTGGGTTATAGAAGGCTCTGGAGATATTCGCAGCAGGGCATCAGCACCACTGATGTAACAGATGCCGTTCCCTTGCCCCACGTTTAAACATCTGTTAGTGGTGTGAACTTGTGCTGTTGCCCATGGCTTAGAAACTAGTCATAAGATGTCTTCTTTAGCTCTTGGCTCATTGGCTGCTCCGATTTGATCCCTCCTCCTGTGATAAACTCTGATGCCACAGACTCAAAGCCTCCAGCGATTGTGGCCTCAAACCTCTGAAACCATGAGCCCAAACAAATCTTTCCCCATTTAAAGATGATTTGTCTTGGACTCTTGTTAGAGAAACAGGAAGTCGACTAGAGGGGGAAAAGGGCGGGAGGGAAGACAGATGCTTTCTTTCTTTGTCTTGGGGAGATTTACTCCAAGACACAGTGCCGCCGACCCCAGCTGCAATCCCGGGTTCCCTCCATTGCGCTTACGTCCTAACCTTAGCATCGACAGCTCCGGCGAGCATTTCCCTCCATAGGCGGCATCTGGTGTTTGCATCTAGCACAGGAAAGCATCTCAGATTTCTCCACCAATAGAAGCTGCCGCAGCTGCAACTGTTCAGAGAAAGAGCTTCCACGGCTCTACCCAAGGACAAAGACCTTCTCAGATCCCAGAGCTCCTGCGTGCTGAGCTGTAAACATGCCTGGGAGCTAGGAACTGAACTGAGACTTTACCCCCAAACGAGTAGCATGTGCCCTAGTTAAAATGATTCTTCCATCTCTTGATCCCTGCCTGGAGATGGACCTGAGACCCAGCGTAGAAACATTTGGAAGTGGGGGGGATCATGCAGAGGTTTGGAGCTCAGCTCCACAAGGCCTTGCCTCAAGTTCACTATTCACTCACGAATGATGTGTTTTCCATCTACTGTGTGTTGAGCAAGGTGCCGCCTGGTGATGGCGTTACCGCATCAAGTAACGGCTATGAGGACCACTCTGGCGGCTTTGGCTGCTGGAGGGAGGCGTCGGGCTTGGTGGGCACGGGCTGCAGGTGTGGAATATCTGGGTGAGTAAAATGCACATGGCCTGTGGACACTGTGTCCGCAGGGGTGAGGCAGATTCAGTGCCATTATATGTCTCCAGAAACTCTTTCTGGACCCTGCAAGTGTGACTCCATAGCGATGCCTGATCTGTGGCTGGAAGGGTCAATCCCAGCATGCCAGGAGGCTGCCTTTCTTCCCCTGTTCTTGTCTCTTCTCAGGAACAGCCGAGTAGAGAGAGAAACCAGTCAGAA